CAGATTTTGCCTAACTCCCGCTACGCTAATAGTGTATCTTCTCAGAAGTTGCACACAGTGCGCCAGTTTAAGTAGTAACCAGCACACGCTATATGCAGCTTCTGACAGCATGGGAGACGGGAGGCAGCACTTGTCGTGGATCCAGGGATCAGGTGAGTATTAAAAAAAAATTATTTTATTTTATGTTTATGTTTTTTTTTGTTTTTTTTTAATACATGTGTTCGCAGGGGCTGGGGCCTTTAATTTTATGGGGGATTTTTAATTTTAGTGTATTTAACTTTTTATTCTTTTAAACTTTTTATTTTTTTTACATTTTTACTTTTTATTTCTTTAACTTCATTTTTGTATTTTTTATTTATTTAACTTTAATTTTACATTTTTACTTTTTATTTATTTAACTTTATTTATTTTATTTTTTTAACATATCTTTTACTTATTAATTTAACTTAATTTTTTTTACTTTTTTTTACATTTTTGTTTATTTAATTTTTTTAACTTTTTTACTTCATTGCTGGGAGCAATAGCCAGCCTGCTATTGGATATTTCAAATTGCAATAGCCAAAAACAGGCTGGCTGCACCCACTGCCTGCTGTCAATCAGCAGAGGAGGAACCTGAAGTTTTCTATCAGGTCCACCTCTGTTGATTGACAGCAGGCAGTGGGCGGGTGCAATAGCCAGCCTTGCCCCCCTGTAGCGACGCCACTGTACATATTGTATTATGGTGATAGAAGATACAAGATACTGCTATGATTATCATGAGAATAAAGAAGACAGACAAAATGTTGCATGGGAGGAACGGCTTCGAGCTGTGACTCCTACCACTATCATAGGACAACATCATAGGATATAAGAAGTCCTTCATCTATTCCGCCCTAAACCAAGGGTTAAAGGGCAGAGAGCATTAAGAAGCACATATATCTTTCAAAGTGAAATCTTTGAGATAAGTTACAGAAGAAGGTAGTGGGAGGATGCATTACAAAGCCTTAAATGTGTCTAGCAATTTAAACCATTCTCCGCTCTTTGATCTTTAGTCTGGCTAATTATAAAGTGCTTTGACATAGCTTATTACTCATTAATATGAAAGCACAAGCAGCGATTTATTTTTAAAAAATGGTCTGTTCTCAAACTATTAGAATGTTGTAATACATTGTTTTGTTACTGTTCGCATATATGGAATGGATGAAAAATGTAATAATAATATAAAAAAAAATAATACTTATATTCTGGAATAAAGGGAGCATTTCACTGCCTGCAATTGGAATCTGTTAATGCCGAGATTACTCTGATTTAAATTATATCAAAAGGTCAAAACATTTGAAAAATTTGGATATGAATAGTTAAAATGTGTGCTAGGCGATTTTGTTTTTGCTACAAGTGTCCCACGGGGAGATTTGCCTTCATTAGACAATGGTATTCAGGAAAAATAAAGAGGAAGAATCTCCTTAATAGGCACACAGAATGCAATAAAAGCCATACAGGGGTTCTAACCCCTTATCAATCTAGCCAAATTACAATTGTTTTGGATTTAGCTAGCTATACTTAAATGCAATCAAACCATTTTCTCACTCTAAATCTCTGGGTCCACATGTTTTTCTGGTGATGTTTGGTGGAAGAACTGGCACCCATTGTTTTATCAATGTATTAATTATTTTAAAATGGTGTAAAACCATTGTCTGAAACTATGGCCTGCCATTAAGAAATACTGTATGTGGTGCATCACCTAATTATTATTACCATCTGCACTTACAGTTTTCTCTTATTTCCCCTGCAAAATCCCACAAATACCTGTTGAGCCAGCCAGTGAAATCCACCTAATGCAGCTTCCTGTGGTGGTATGGCAACAATGTTGCACTGCTTCTGAATTTAGAACAGAGTTGTCAATTTGATGTAGGTTGTGTCTGCTTGTACTACAGAGGGATGGAAAAATGTTACAGGGGGTGTGGTTATCAGTGTTATAGCTTGTCAATCAGCACCTGACCACACCTAGTTCTGCCCGCTGCTTTCTGGATTGACAGAACTTTCTCTGTTGCTGAAACCCTCCCACTGTGAGCGGCAACATATGGGAGGTGCAAATGAAGGAGGATTTGGTTTAATTAAGGAAAGTAAAGGATTTGTATATGTACAATTTTTGAAGCTTGTATATCACAGTGTCTGGATTTGGTCATTGTTTAGACTGTCATACAGGAGCCTTTAGTTGTACTTTAAACCTGGAATATCCCTAGCTAGCCCTAAATTATCACCATTTTTATTACTTACAGTGTATGTATAGCCAACATTTATTTTAGTTTTGGATAAAGTAGCGAAGGGTTAAAACCACTACCAGTTTATTTTTTGCTTCTCAAGGTAAGAAAGTAAGGCATCTTAGACAGTTGTCTATGGAACAGGTATTCCTTTTATTAAGATTCGGCTGTATATTTTGTTTCAGCCGTGCAATTTTCAGCTATGCAAAACTGTACTGAAATGAATTGTATACAATTTTTTGGGGACAGATAGAGCTTTCTTTTGATAGTATTTATTCACCGAGGTTTTTTATTTTTTACTATATGATGAAAAAAAGTACCGAAAATTTCAAGAAAGAAAACAACTGTTTTCCCTATGTTACGTTAAAAACATTTATTCTTACACAAATGTTTGGTAAAATATAAAAGATGGGGTCACGTCGGGTAAAAGATACCAAACATGTCAAGCTTTACAATTGTGTGCACCCTTAAAATTGCAAAAAAACCCCCACCATACCCAAAATTGGCCATAGGCGACACTTTAAAAACTTTTATCTCTCATCAGTTTAGTGTTTACAGTGACTGATGGCCTTAGAATTATTGCCCTCACTCTGATGCATGATCAATGTAATCGTAGTTTTTGCACGTAGGCACATGTTTATGTGTGTATGTGGGGGCGGGGGACTTTAAAATGTTTTTGTGTTTTTTTAAATAATGTGTTATGGCTCTACAGTCACCGGACTGCTTGTATGTAAACAGTCATCGCTGGCTGTTTACAATTTAACCCCTTCGTGATGGGTGACATACACTGTATGTCCCGCCACAAAGGGCCCAAATGACTCGTCACATACAAAGTTGAAAGAGTTAACATTTTTCAGACACGCGATCCCGTTCAGGAATCGGGTGCCTGAGAGTGAAAGCAGAGCCGCATTCACGGCTCTTGCCGGCATTCTGACAGCTGCTATAAATCGAGAGATCTCGATCGTATGCCGGCTTTTTTTCTTCTTCTGATGAGCAATATTGCATGTCGATAATAGTTTTCTCTTGAGTGCCCCTTAGCAGATGATACTTCACATCGATGTGCTTGGTTCTGGGGTTGTTCCTTTCTGATTGTGTCTTAGCAGTACATGACAGCTTACAGGGTGGTATTCCCTCTGTTGCCTGAGTGGATCAGGGGCTGACTGGCAACTTTTAGCCCAGGGGGCAAGTACAACCCAGAGGCCCATGGTGCAGCAACTTGGTCCCCCTCCCACTCTGCCTCTTCCCCGCCTTCTCCCCGCCTCTGTCTGCCACTTTTGCCATCCATGTAACGGTAGTGTGAATGGTCGGGTTAAGTGAGGACTCCTAGTAAGTCCGTGAAAGGGACGACTGGCTGGGGGATAGTGCTCTCCTCCCACAGGGCTCCCTACATGGTTCTGGCCTTACTCGCTCCATGTCCACTACTTAGACACTCTCGCCCACTGTAGACCGCCGCTGGCAGTCCATGCTTCTGGGCTGTGAGCTGTGGGAGGATAGTGGGAGGGGCCGGACAGTGTCAAAGTCAGTGTTCTATAATTTTTCTCAACCCTATACATTTTCTCGACTGTGTCACTTCCAGTGGGGCCGAGTCATGCGAATCAGCTGTTTTCATGACCCCCCTTTCTTCAGGACATGCGCACCTGGAAGAGACGCGGTAGAGAAATTTATCGGTTGAGGAAAATTAAAGCACAATGGTATTGGAGGGATGCCTCATCAGTACTGTGCGCGTGTACGACTGCTGCGACCCTGGTAGTTCTGCCACTAACTCCAAGCTGTAGAGGGACTACAAATCTCAGCACATTATACAACAATGTAGAATAATACCACCAGCTATGGAGGACTATAAATATCAGAAATACATTGTACAGCATTGCAGAATACCAATTAGGCTGAAATACATTGTACAGCATTGCAGAATACCAATTAGGCTCTCAGGTGGCCAATGCGGACTGTCAGGTGGTCAGTGCGGGCTCTCTGCTGGTTAGTGCGGGATCTGTGGTGGCCAGTGGGGGCTCCCTAATAATTAGTGGTGGCTGTGGGGTAGCTCCCAGGTGGGTAGTGGGGGCTCTACTGTGACCAGTGGGGGCTCCCTGGTGGTTAGTGAGGGGCTCTGTGGTGGCCAGTGGAGTCTCCCTGGTGGTTAGTGGGTGATCCCTGGTGGTTAGTGGGGGATCCCTGGTGTAGGGTGACCATTTATCTAGAGCTGCAGCTAACGATTATTTTCAAAGTCGATTAGTTAGCCGATTATTGAGTTCTATTAACCGGTTAATCGGGATAAAAAAATGGCTCCAGTAATGGACTTCTTACTGGGGAGGAGGTGGGGCGTGTGGTGCGTGGATGCAGGCGGGCGGGTTTAGCAGCGGCAAGCGCGAGGCGGGGAGGTGCGGCATGCAGCGTGTGTGGAGTCATTAATAGGGCCAACTAATCGAAAGCCGATATTCGATGATTAAAACCTTGTTCTAATATGCCCTAGGCGAGGCTTTCAAATGGGGTGCTTTCAACAGCTTTTGAAGGTAGTCTGTTCTGTAGGTATGTTGCAGTCATGACTGTTTCTCTCCAGTACGTCTTAGGTAGGTTGGCGTCTGACGGCATGGTTCTGGCTATTTCTATAAGAGTGCAATTGTTTGGTTCTACTACACCATTTTGTTCAGGAGTGTATGGTGTGGTGGTCTGGTGTACTATACCTTGTTTCTTCAGATGTTATTCCACTTTCTTACTGATGTATTCCCCTCCGTTGCAGGTGCTTACAATTCCTGGTTTCTGTTTGGATTTATTGCTGGACATGGTTGCAAACTCTTGAAGTTTTTCTGATGTTTCGTTCTTGTGCTTCATCAGATAAGTTGTTGTGTACCTGGAATAATCATCAATGAAAGTCAGTAGGTATCTGTTCCCGCCTAATGTGGGAGCTTTCATTGGAATGCACACATCACTGTGTATGAGCTCCATGGGGTGGGTGGTCTTTCTTTGAGTGGTATGTGGAAGTGGGGTACATGTGGCTTTTCCTTCTATACAGCATTTCATGAGCATTTGGCAGGGCAAGACGGTTATATCTTCTGATAAGCCTCTCTTTATAATGTCTTTTATGGCTTCTGGATTTCGGTGCCCTAGTCGTCTCTGCCATAGGTGGATACATGTGTTGTGTGGATTATAAGTGGCTGTCTTGACCTGTTCACCTGCGGTGATGAGTCTGTACAGGTGTTCATCCAATTTTCCTTTTGCGAGGATTTGCCTATTGTTTCGGATTGTACATTCTTCACCTCTGAATTGAAATGTGAGACAGTTATTAGCAAGGGTTTTCACTGATAGAAGGCTTCCTTCTAGGCCTGAAACATACAGTACTTTTTTCACAAGGATACTCTGCTTGTCCCCTTGACTGTGATGCAGTTCAAGAATCCTTGACCATTACCTTCTGTAGTAATACTTTTAACGTTTGCTAGGTAGACTTTGCCCTTTGCACGGAAATCAATTTCTGTAAAGAAGGTCTCATCACTACTCATATGATTTATTGCACCTGAGTCAATACACCATCCGTGTGGTATACTGTTCTA